TGCGCACGGGACGCTGCTGGTTAACGATGTCCTGGCCTCCTGCTACGCGGTTCTGGAGAGTCATCAGTGGGCCCACCGCGCCTTTGCTCCTCTGCGCCTGCTGCACGCGCTCGGGGCGCTGCTCCCCGGGGGTGCGGTCCAGCCGACTGGCATGCATTGGTACTCTCGATTACTTTACCGCTTGGCGGAGGAGTTAATGGGCTGAGAAGCCCTCCAGGCCCTGGACGAAAACCGATGCTGAGACATGCTAAGATCTGGGGATGTGGGCAGCAGGTGATGCTGATTGGGAGAGTGGGTGGCGAAAGAGAGGGGGGGAAACGGACTGTACTGGAACTTTCTGGTTTAAGGGCAAGTTTTAGCTGAGAGGAGTGGTCCCCTGGTCCTTGATAACTGCGTTTGCTGGCAGGCACTCTTTAATGAGGGCTTGTTTGCATCTTCCCCAGTGCCTCAGTCCCACCCGATAATTTTATTTCTATTTATAAATTGTAATATAACGATCTGCTTGCCCTGCCCACCAAGGTGAGGACCTGGAGTGTGGCCTTAACACTGTTTGACATGGCCAGCCAATCTCACATCTCACATTTTCCTGCAGGTGGCTTAGTAAAAGGAAGGCTCATTGGAAACCACCTTCACTCAGAGGCAGTACACCCCCAAAGAGGAGGACAGCAGGATTTTTCAAATCCTTTTTGCTGCAGAGGGTGTCCCAACCCATCAGAATAGACCCGAAATGTACTGCTTTTTTTTTTTTTTTTTTTTTTTTTTTTTTTTTTTTTTTTTTTGCTGGTCCCACCCCAGCACAGTTCTGGGATCAGAACTGTGTTCATGAGCATACATATCACCTGGGGGTGGGCAAGGCTTACTGAGGGAGCATGAAGATTAATACTCAAACATTTGGAGTCTTCTATAAGCTGTTCTAGCCTATCCTAGTAGATTATGAATGAGCCCAGCCGCCATTCTGCCTGCTGATGATGAAGTCTGATTTTTTTCTGGGGGGGGTAGGTCAACTTATGAACCATGGGTGTTCCTTATAGTCCACACACATCTGTGACTCAAACAAAAATCCTAAAGTAACCAGGAATGACTATAATTCCAACACTCTGGGGAAAGGACAAAACAGAAAGACCAGGAGTTCAAGGCTACCTTGGGCTGGATAGTAGGAGAGAGAGAGAAAGAGAGAGAGAGAGAGAGAGAGAGAGAGGTTGGAGAGAATAGGTATAGAGAGAATTGGGTGTATCTGAGGGAAACCACCTCCTCTGTCAAGCTCTAGCATTCTTCCTTGAGTGAGTTTCTTCCTTGAGTCTTGGTGGCTACTCTGCGGACTGATTTCTCATCCCCTCCTTTCCCTTCTGTTATTACTGGCTGTGCTTCTTGGGCTTGGGTGTTTGGGGGAAATCAGATTTCCACATGGCAGACACTTGAAATGCAGGTATTAATGTCCCTGAGGTAGGAATGTGGAGAGAAGACTGCTCTGGAAGTGGGGTATGTAGGATCTGAGGGCTAGTCAAGGGTGGTTGGTACTTCCAGGGACTGGGACCAAGCCTGCTACATCTATGTTGCAGGAAGATTGGCTCTACTCTGAACATCTGAGTCCATTCTATGTATACACTGCCCTCTGGTGGCATTCAGGAGAATTCTAAGCCTAAGGACATAGGCAGTCACCCCCCCTCCACCCTCCCACCACCACAAACACACTCTGGACCAAAGGGAATGTATCCCATGGTGCACCGGACTTACTCACAGGAGCCATATCCCAGAAGGCAGAATTGATGCATGGGGCTTGTTAAGCTTTTGGCACTGTATCATGGTGTTGGGAGCCTGTGGGGGACCTGCTGGAGGTGAGGGACCTGTTTGCTTCTCTTTCAATCCTTGGTGGTTTTTCCAGCCCCTCTGCCTAGTTCAGCTCTGTGCCTCTGGGAAGCAAGAGGTATAGGTAATGATGTAGACTTCCTCATATCCTTCACTCTGGTGACCCCCAAGTCTTGTGGTCCAGAGGTAAGAGCAAATGGAGCTTCAAATAGTGCCTGTTAAAGGTCTGCCCATTCACTAATGTCCTCAGTGTGCATCCTCCAAGTACCTTTACCCTGCCTTCTCCCGGCCTCAGAGACACACCCCAAACAACAGCCTTTTCTACTTTCTTCCTAACCCTCTTCCCATCTGTTTCTCTTAGATCCTGGTACCTTTTGTCTTATCACCCAGGTGATGAGCAATCTAATAAGCTAATTAGTCTTTTTGTGTTGTACTCAGTTTCCTAAGTACTACGAGTATCTAAACCGCTGAAACGAAGGCCTTTAACCGGAAAACCATAATGGCTGGCTGGGAATATATCTCAGTAGTAGAGCAATAGCCTAGTGTACGCAGAACCCCAAGTTCAATCCCCAGTATCACTCAAATGGCTATGTATATATTTGGGGACAAGGAGAACATATTAGTTTTCATTAAATCACATCCTGTAGGTTACTTCCCAGGCTTGAGGTTCACCTTCCTTCTAACTTCATCCCTTGAGGCCCTTCCCCTCATTCTGTCCCCTTGAGGCCCCTACCAGCTATCTAAAAAACAAAAAGCAAAAAAATGCACTCTGTCTGCAAGCAGGTAAAATGCACCATCTGCTTGAAGGCAGGGTGGGGGAGGGGGCACTAACTTGCCACATAGTACCTTCCAGCCACAGCAACTCTTTCCAGCACAGGAACTGAGCAAAAATCATCTATTCTCTGCATTCTTTTCTCATTGCTGTGCTGTTTTCTTCTGTCTATACTCCACTAAAAGCATTGCCAATGAAAGCATTTAGGGGTTGAGTTTTGTTTTGTTTTCAAGTTGTGCATGGTAGCTGGTGTTCATAATCCCAGCACCGAGGGCTAAGACAGGAGAATTGTCTTGAGTTCAAGGACAGCCTGGACTACCTAGTGAGACCCTGCCACAAACAAACATTATTTTTTAAAATCAGATGCAACATGATACATTTGGATTTGTTTACTTTTTAGGAGACTTAGTCTCCCCTTGAGCTCATAATATTTCTGTCTCAGCTTTCAGAATGTTGGGACTGGGTTTGTTTTAGAATGAAAGTGTAATTATACAGGTGGTGGTGCACACCTTTAATCTCAGCACTTGGGAGGCAGTGGCAAGCAGATCTCTGAATTTGGGGCTAGCCTGATCAGTGGCTAGGGCTACACAGAGAAACACTGTTTCAAAAAACCAGACAAAAAGAAAAGAAAAAAGGAAGTATAATTACAAGTAATTTTGACAGTACTATAGCCTGTTAGTGCACACCTTTAATTCTCACACTGGGGTCTGGATGTCTGTGAATCTGAAGCCAGCCTGATCTATTGGGAGAGCTCCACGTTAGCCAGGGCTAAGCAGAGAGATCTTATCTTAGAAACAATAACAAACCTTCCAAAACAAAGGTATACAAATTTTTGGATAGATAGTCAGAAGCTAAGAACAAAAAGAAAAACAAAAACCAAACCCTAACCCTCTCTTGAGGGTTTCAGACCACATTGTGATGACCCTGATGAGACCTCTATATTCAGGGTCATCAGAGTTAGAATCGCTTGCTACCTGAAGGTTCAGTTGACTTTAAGTGCATCCTTCTCTTAAGCAAGAATTGCTGCAAACTTGTTTCAGTTTAACACTGTATTGGGCTTTGGAAAACCACACAAGCCTGGCAGTAGTGGTGCACGCCATTAATCCCAGCACTCGGGAGGCAGAGGCAGGCGGATCTCTATGAGTTCGAGACCAGCCTGGTCTACAAAGCTAGTTCAAGGACAGCCTCTAAAGCCACAGAGAAACCCTCTCTCAAAAAAAAAAAAACAAAAAAAACAAAAAAAAAAGAAAGAAAAAAAGAAAGAAAGAAAACCACACAAAAGATCAAGAAACCACATTCTGGAGAAGTAACCATTAATGTATAGATGCATAGGCTTACCAAAGCAGTACTAGTATCTAGGATGAATCCAACTGGCAGTGTATACCATATTGGTACAGAGAAGGCCTCATGGATAGAGGAGGGGGAAATAGGGTTGTGTTGATGGGTATGTAGGTGGGCAGGACTGGAATGGATATCTCAGGCAAGAACTTGGCATCTGGGAGGATGTGTGGCCTTTGACAATAGAGATACTGGGACTCGGACTTATGTTTACTGAGGACTCGGTACACATTAGGCCATATTCTAGCATGGTATGTGCATTCTCATTCAATCCTCGAAACGTTATGGTAAATCCACAGGTGGGAAACCTGGGAAAACTCATGTTGGTTTGTCCCTTCGCCCTTTTTTCTTTTCTTTTTTTCGAGACAGGGTTTCTCTGTGTAGCTTTGGAGCCTGTCCTGGAACTCACTCTGTAGACCAAGCTGGACTTGAACTCACAGAGATCCACCTGCCTCTACCTCCCAAGAGCTGGGATTAAAGGCATGTGCCACCACCGCCGGGCTCGTTTCCCCCCTTCTAAGACATGGTATTATTCTGTAGTCTAGGCTTAGAGTTCACTGTGTTGCTCTGTCTGGTCTCCAATGCCAGGAAGTCCTCCTGCCTTAGGCTCTGGAGTGCTAGGAGTCCACATGTAAGCCACCACATCCAGTTCAAGGCTAAGAGCTGTAAATCCTTATCTATCTAGGGTTCCACAGCCAATACATGACAGAATAGGAAAGGTGTATGTGAACAAGAGGGTGTTCTGATGGGTGGGCAGGATCTGTGATCTTAAGCTGCTATTTATTTTGCTTGGTCCTCTCATTACATTACTCTAAAGTCCACATAGCCCCCCTCCCCAAAGTAGCAGGATTATTTTATTTAAAGCAAAGAAGTAGAATACACTACATGAGAGCAGTGGCACACAAGAGTGAAGCTACCCAGGGAGCCCTTGAAGCTTTAAAAGAAAAAGATTGCCGGGCTTTGGTGGTGCATGCCTTTAGTCCCAGCACTCGGGAGGCAGAGGCAGGTTCAGGGAGCCCTTGAAGCTTTAAAAGAAAAAGATTGCCGGGCTTTGGTGGCTCACGCCTTTAGTCCCAGCACTCGGGAGGCAGAGGCAGGTGGATCTCTGTGAGTTCCAGGCCAGCCTACTCTATATAGTAAGTTCAAGACTGGCCAGGGCAGTACAGTAAGACATGAGACCCTGTCTTAAAGAAACAAACAAACAAACAAAAGTCCAGGAGTAGTGACTCATTCATTCATGTAATCCCAGCACTTGGGAGGCAGAGGGAGGAATCTAATTAGGGTCCTCC